TTCCTGCTTTAAATGCAGGGGTGCATTTGTGTTTATTTGTGTTTCAGTAGTGACATAAAAAAATGCGGAACAGTATTTTTTGAAAAAAGCTGTTTCCGTGTCACACCGCTAGTTTTAACTGTGCTTGCTGTCTGCGCCCCAAATAGAGTCTTCATTGATTAACAAAGTAGAGTTTTAATGCTTTACTCTGCATCATCTGACATTCAGTCGTGTGACGTTCGCTCATATCTGTATATATTACACTTTGCTGCTACGAAACACTGATGGCTTAAGCTGAGCAAGTTGGCACACAGCCAACCCTGTTCTCACGTTTCGTGCGTGAAGCTTTCAAATTGCGGAGCTTTGTGAATGATTCACCTGCAAGACGCGACAGAAACCGAGAGACACACAGATCTTTAATTCAGTGTTTTCACTCCAGGCTTGGAGCCCCTGAACTGTATAGTTCAGTGTTTCTCTCTGCTGTTCACCTCGTTCAGCTCAAGAAGGGATTAATTAGCTAATAATATCAGGTATTTTAATCAGGAAACCACAGTTATGCAGTGCAGGGGTTTCAGGACTGGAGCTGAACTCTGAACTAACTGCACTAGCAAACTTACAGAATCACGTCTGTTGAAACACGACGTCGTTTTCAGACCCACGACATTCAGTCTGATATTTAACGTTCATGTTTCTCCATTCAAACCTCATTTAAATCTCCAGAAACAGAGAGTAAAGTTATCCCGGCTGTCTGCAGCTCCGTTAGGGGGCGACTGTTCATCTCTCGGCTGTTAACATCAGCTAAAGTTATCTAAAGGCCAGCATTGATCACATCTGTGTTAATTAGCTGATGTCGTTACCCTCTTATGATGATGGAGTGTTTTCTCCTCTATGCAACACCTGGGATCCTTTACCCACCCTGACGTGAAGAGCCGGTGGGCTTCTGTGTTTTTAAATGCTTTGAGAGACTCCAGAACAGGGAGAGGGGCTGAGTATGAGATAAATATAAATGTCAGGAAAACACAAATTTGGTAGTTTTTCGTCAGTTTAAGTGGGACCAGGAGTTCAGGGGGAAACTGTATAAGGATCACAGACTATTTTATTGACTTTGTTGAGGTGACGTTTCTTCTCTTCCAAAGTAAGGAGAGCAATTTTAGCCATCTTTTTTATGTTCATGCAGAGCAGCAAAGCCAGATGTTCAGCCACAACAGACAAATCACGTGACTGAAACCCGAGGATTGGTAATTAGTCTCAGAGAAAGCGTGTGTTAGCCTTCACCCTCCCAGCTTGTTGCATCGTGCGATGGAGGGAAACCTAGTTAATGGATGGAAAATTTCAGTACTACCACCATTTTATGATCTCTCTCAGTATAATTCGTGTCATTTTGTCATGTTTTAACACATTTAGTGTCAAAACTAACACACTGTGCTGTTTGGTTGTGTAGAGTCGTGTGTCAAACGCAAGAACCCTTTGGGAACCTTTGTTTTTAGTTTGTTTCTCAAGTTTCTTCATGTGTTTTCTCTGAACCTGTTTAATTCTAAGCCCTGTAGCTTGCCTCCTTCCCACCTCCGCACTCAGCAGCAGAAGTACAGTCAGTATATAAAACAGTAAGAACAGTAGAGGGGGCATTTGCTAATATGCATGGGGGGGTACGCATCAACCTTGGAGACTTCAGTTCCTCTGTTCTGTAGAAGTGGTGACAGAATCATGCCAGCCTCCTCCGATACACCCCCCCACCCCCACCCCCTCCGATGCCTCGCGTGTGACAGATTGAGAGCAGATACAGAGCATCTGAACTTTTCACTCCGTCCAGGAAAGTCAGAAGTTGGGAAGAAAGCGAGTTTTTTGAGGTGCGAACTTTTGATGGCGCTTTATTGAAAACCTTGGCGGAGTGTTTATAGAGTAATTAGAGGTGAAGAACTAAAGCACACGCCCACGCATGACAACAAATCCCAGCATGCGTCTTCCTCCAACCTCTACTGTCTGATCGAACTGTTATTACTGAAAGCGCAGATGTGTTTATTTAGCCGTCTGCAGAAAGGAGCGTTTTTCAAGCTATTTGATATTCATATCTGAATGAGATACGAAAGCAAATGTTTTGCTTTTTCTTGTCGTGTATTTGCATTTTAAAGTCTCTGTCGTGGATTCTGTATTGTTTAGTCATTTTAGGTGCTCATCTGCCCTTCCTCGAGGCAAGTTGGGTATTTAGAGCTTTAGTTGGGCCTGCAAATTTGATCCAAACCTGAATACATTGTACAAATGTTCTTGAGTCCAACAAAAATCCAATAAATCAAACCCCTCATTCACACCAACAGGTTCTCTGTGCTTCACCAACCACACAGCCATATCTACATAAACATCACACGAACCTGAGTGTGGATCACTGCGTTCCCTCTGTTATATAATCCTATCCCATTTTCTGAGAGCAATATTATTGAAATAGTGTAATTTTGGACAGTATCTTTCTCAAACTGCTGCTCTGTAATGGTACCGAATGCGCTGTTGACATGTGTGGCTGGACCCAACTGTATCTATGCATGTATACACTGATCAGGCGTAACATTATGACCACCTCCTTGTTTCTGCGCTCATTGTACATTTTATCAGCTCCACTTACTATATAGGTGCACTTTGTAGTTCTACAGTTACAGACTGTAGTCCATCTGTTTCTCTATGTACTTTGTTAGCCCCCTTCAGTGGTCAGGACCCCCATGGACCCTCACAGAGCAGGTACTATTTGGGTGGTGGATCTTTCTCAGCACTGCAGTGACACTGACGTGGTGGGGGTGTGTTAAAATGTGCAGGAGAGCGCTGGTTACCATGCACATGACCATAATAGCAGTTATCAGAGCACTGATAGATAAAATCAGAAAACCTCATATCTCCAAAAACTTTACAGGAGAAGGAAAAAACATACTTTACTTTTAATGTGAGTCAATGGAACCAGAATTTTTTCCAAGTCATTTTGAGTCGTTTATTTTTGTCTGTTCGTCATGAAATTTACATACAATGTAAAAGGTAACAGGTTTTTTTAAATTATGTCAAAAACTGAAAAACGTCAAAAATAGAGATACAAGGTTTTCTTCTGACAACAGCGATATAAAATATGCTATTACAAAATCATCAGGTGTCAAAAATTACGGTTAAATTCTGCTTTAACAAATTTGTTTGTTAAATGATGCTTTTAAACATCAATCAAAACGCTTTTTAATCTGGACAAACATTCCATCCTGCACTGTCCTTATGCTGTGCTGATATTGTGAGACGTTGGCTTCACCAGTTTAATATTAGAACTCTATTTCTGCACATAGAATATGTTACATAGAGCATATTGAACATAAAACATACATTTTTTTTTTGACTAAACAAATCAAACATTCTCTTGGCTGCACTAAGCTGTGCTTTCCTGACTCAATTTGCTGTTTATGTCCCGTTTTCTCATAAGTGTGGGCCTGGTGGACCTCAGTGCTGGGCCGTTGACTTCAGCATGCCGGATTAAAAAATGATTTAAGGTGGTGAAGAATAAAGTCAGGTTTAAAACTAAAGCGAAAGGAAATGCAAGATAAACTCAACCTGAGAAAGTAAGATAACACATCCTCTGCCAGGAATAAACTTAAAAACGCCATCTTCTTCTAATTTAGTGCACAAATTCTATTTGTTTGTTTAGTTTAACATTCATACAAAAAAAAATCCAAAATGTGTTGTAACTTTTGCACAGGTCATATTTTACATTTGATTTTTCCCCCAATATGTTAAATTCAGCAAATTGTATATTTAAATGTGTTGCCTTATATATGTATATGTACTTATTTACACTTAGAATATCAACAAAACATAAAAAGAGGCGCCCATTTTTTTTTTCTCACGACTGTATTTTTGTAATTTTCTTTTTTCTTATGTTATATTCTGAGTCTAGGCTTGTATAATGTCCTAAACAAATTGGTCCCACTTTACATGTAGTTACATGTGAACAACATATGCAATAACAATGTAACTACTAATGATTTAGTCACTGTTACAGATGGATTACTGAAGTAAAGCCTATGTAATTACATGTGTGTCTACTTCAGTTTTGCCTCATGTAATTACACAAGCATATCTTCTACACAGGAACGTTCCTGTAGTGCAGTGTTAAAGTTACACTGTAAAATAAGTTAACAGTTCCTGTGTAGTTGCTGTGTAGTTACTGTGTAATAATGGAGTGGTATTAATTGCTTTGGTAATGCAACACATTTAATTAATGTAATAACAGTTACATGTTGAGATAAGGGACGTCTGCTGTTCTGTCACATTACAGAATGGTTTAAAGCTGAAACTGGTTACAGTGTCACAGTACTGGCATCATAAATGCTAGCTAAATGTTAGGAAAGCTGGCAGATACAGTGTCAGTGATGTAATTACATTTGTTATTACCCTTGTGTAATTACATGAGAGAGAATAGGCTGTTACAACTAGTAAAATACACTTGTGTAATTACATGAGGCAAAACTGAAGTTGATACACGTATAATTACATAAGGTGTATTTCTGTAATCTGTTTAACAGTGACTAAATCATTAGTAGTTACATTGTTGTTGCATATGTTATTCACATGTAACTACACAGTTATTAGAGACACTAATATAAATTGGGACCAACAATCTTTTTCACTATAGAATGTCACGTTGTAGTTGTTACTAATGTATTCCTTCTGTAATTGAAAGTAAAATTGTGTTACTTTTCACTGCTACTGCCTGGTGATCCTCACCGCTTCTTTGGCTGCGCTGAGCGTTTGTGTGTGTTTTCGGCTTCGACACCTGGAGATTTACTACTGCTTATTTTCTTCTCCGTCTCACACATTTCTGTTAATGCTTCTTGGTTTCTGTCAGTTTAATTCAGTGTTTTTGGAACGAATACCGTTCTAAAAGCAGTTGATTAGATTATAAAAACATTACGTAACATTAATTGACATTAGCATTGAGTCAAGCTCATTGGTTACTGAGCGTTTCTCAGCCTTTCTCTCCCCTTTCCTCCCTTTTTTCTCAGGTGTGGTATTTATTGGGATGGCTGTTTTATCTACAACTAGACAAGCCAGACACCACAGATGATGCAGAGAGCGTCAGAAAATCAGCCAGAACTCACCTAACCAAAGCAAAAAAGGTACAAACACAGACACCTTTTCACCTACTGACAACTAAATACTGACTTTTTCAGTATTTATTGTTGCAGATTTGCACATTTCCACTTTTCTCAGTGAGGTTCCTCTTGATCAGCTACACATCCTTTCAGACCCACAGCGCTGAGTCGTCTTCTCACAGTGGAAGGATGGACAGGAACACCTGTGGATGTTTTCAGATCTGAAGCAGCTTGATTTTCTCCTCTCTCTCAGAGATGAAAGCTTTAAGTGCTGTTTATCTGATGGGGGCAGTTTTGGTGTCGACCAGGTCTGACTGAAAAAAAAAAAAGCATAGAAACCGTTAAAACGTTCTGCTCATTGCAGGTGTTTTTTTCCCTTATTTTCCTTTGACTCTCCCCTTGGTTGAGTAAGTGGATTACTGTATATCTAATATTGGAAATATCTCCTAAACACTTGAGCTTGATGGCCATTTTAAATGGAATTTAATTAAATGGAGGGTGATGTGACTTTTTTACAGTACTCAATGGTCAAAAATGGCTGAAAAAATTTGACCAAAAAAATAGGACTACAAGAAAGTGTCAGTCAGTCAGTCACTTTGTTAACTAATAATTTAAATCTTAATAAAAACAAGAAACAGTGATCAAAAACCTTTTTTCCCTTCGCTCCCCCAGTCAGCTCGCTCTCCTGTGCCAGTCGGCGCAGACGCATTTAACGGCTTGAGCAGCAGAAGATAAACAGCGAAGAAAAAAATTCAGCCGTGTGGACCTGTTTCATGCTTCTCCTGAGGGATGTTAGACACGTCTTTTGTGAGCATTGTTTTTGTGGAGTATCAAGAGTGAGTTTGACGCTTAGGATCGTCTCCTTTACAGAACTTGAAAACGTCCTGCTCGACATGCAGAACACAGCCAAACAAGAAAAAGTCCTCTCCAGCATGTTAACGCAAAGCGGCTGAGCTGTTCTGAGGTTATAGAAGTGTGTAATGGAACTTTGGGCCTGATGGTGGGACCTGGCCATCTGAGGGGTTAATTAACAATGTAAAAGTATTATCTTTATTACCTATGTAATACTTTACCTTGTGTTTAGTATGATTACTCAAAGACAAATAAAACATTTTCGTTTTAGTGTATCGCTGGTAATAAGTGTTCCCCACATTCAACCTGAGTAACCAAAGAGAAATAGTTTTTGTAATTAACTTTGCAGATTCTGTTTTTGGTGTAAACTCAACGTGAAAATGTCCGAAAAGCCAACACACACACACTCGGACATCATGTAGTCAGCATGCTGTGAACCTTTTAGTAAGATTATATTATATAAACTGTTTTTGTGTCAGCTCAGATGTGTTAAGGAAAGCAGATTTAATCAATAATCAAAGGTATTTTCTGTAAACCTATAGCATTTATGTCTAGTACGTTTACGCAGAAGCATAAATAAATCGACCAGGTAAAACCCTTTACTTCGGTTTTCGAATTTTCGTTTCGGCCTGGAATTTTCATTCAGTGCATCACTAGTAATAAGTATTCCCTACACTTCGCCTCAGTAACCAAAACAAAGGCCCAATCCTATTTCACCCCTCGCGTCTAGGGGGTCTAGGGGTAGAGTGTCCTGATTTGTGTTGAGACAGAGGGGTAGGGTGAAGTGTTAGGGCTACATGACCCTCCAAACAGATGAGGAAAAAAGAAAAACCAGCAAGACGGCTGAGCAGGAGACCAAAGAAACCCACAAATGTGAGAATTTTCTGTTAAAAATTATAATAACCATCTTAGTTTGATGTCATTTTAGTGTTTTATGGCACTTTTCTTCATAACAAGCTTCAAAAGTTGCTAGTAGTAGCTGATGTCTTGGTAGCTAACTAGCTTTTTCCCATTCCACCTTAAATGGTGCAGCAATCAGGCTTCAGAACTGCTGCACCATTTAAGGTGGAACGGGAAAATTCGAACGAGAAGCTGGCGAATATCTGACTTCAGCTTCATATCACTGAAGAATTAGTGGGGGATGATAATAAATAATTGCTTTGAAGGCATATGACTGCCCTAAATGTAACTAAAGCCCAGCAGTGAGGAGCTGAACTTTACCCTCCTCTGCTGTCACTGCAGACTGGCAGGGTCGCCTACAGAGCAGCGCTGGTAGCTGTTAATGAAGTGATGCTCTTTTTATTTGAGGGTCCCAATTTGTAGGGAAGATTTCAACCACTACCCCTTGTAACTCAGTTTCTAGGGGCAAGGAGACCCTCGAAAACAAGGGGTAGGGGTAAAAATGAGAAATGGGATTGAGCCGAAATAATATACAGTATTTTGTTGGTCCTGTTTATCTCTGCTTTTGGTATAAACTCTGAACATTTTTTGTCTTCAAAGTGTCTAAAAACCAACACCCACCCCCACACACACAAACACACACGAGATGATCAGCATTTCTTTGTTCAGTACGGAAGCTTCTTGTGCTCTGCAGGACTTTTGCTGCAAACACACACTTTCCCTCTCCTCCCCCTCTTTTTTTTCATCTGCGCACCGCTCTCCCAGCATGTCCTCTCTCCTTTCACCGGGGTGAAATTTCTCTCACACCGCCGGCGGTCTCGGGCTATGGAAATGGAAAATGAAAAGCGAAGTTTGAGCGAAAGAGAGAAAGCGAGAGCGCGTCTAGCAAGCGGTGGGAGGAGAGAAGGTGTCGAACTTCTACCTGCTTTACCTGCTCTCTCTCATTCTCTCTCTTTCTCTTTCCCCTGCCCTTTTTTCTCTCATCTGCTCCATCCATCTCCTCCAGTGGCCTTTCACTGCTCGAGTTATTAGAGTTTGGTTTCTCTCTGAAGTTGCCTGTGGTCACTGTGTGTGTGGACTTCTCATTTCTTTTTCCCCCTCTGTTCTTTCCTGTCTCTTTCCTCCCTCTCTTTCTCCTCCTCACTATATGAACCGTCATGCTCCGGCCTTCGTTCTCTCACCCCCTCCCTCTGCCTCCTGTCCTTTTCTTTGTGGGAGGACTAAAGAATTTGCTACATTTTGTCCTTGGTGCGGTCATGGAAGATGAATTGTTGCACCACACATACACAAAAACAAATTCGCATACTATCCCCCTCGCTCTGCCTTTACCTTCAGAGGTGGGCATAGTTATTCATATATCTGAATGTACAGTACTGGGCAAAAGTCAGAGACCACCCTACATTTATTTAGTTTCTAGTCAAGTACCACTTTATGGCTGCTGTCGGAACAAAACCTCGTATCTCCAAAAATGATAATTTTACAGGAGAAGGAAAAAACATACTCTACTTTTAATGGAAGTCAGTGGAACCAGACGTCTTTCTAAGTCATTTTGGGTCGTTTCTTTTGGTCCATCCTTCATGAAATTTACACACAATGCAAAGGTCAGTGGGCATTTTCAAATCATGTCAAAAACTAAAAAAACTAAAAATTAGATAGAAGATAATCCACTTGCATAAGGAAGGAGGGGAGGAACATTAGTGAGAAAAACAGGAGTTTGGGGCTCTGCAAGATCTGGTAGACACCTAATGTGTGACCATTAAGTAAACAGTACTTTCATCTCTGAGAGGGAGCAGAAAATCAAGCTGCTTCAGATCTGAAAACATCCACAGGTGTTTCTGTCCATCCTTCCACTGTGAGAAGACAGCTCAGCGCTGTGGGTCTGAAAGGATGTGTAGCTGTCAAGAAGCCATTAAAGAGGCTGAACTGGACATCTGAAATGTGGAGTGAGGTTTAGTTTGGATTGTGAGGAGCAGAAAATGCAATCAGCTTCTAGGACTGAACTGAAAACTGAAAGCAAGCCTCCTCAGAAAGACTGGAAGCTAAAGAGTGGAAGCTAAATACTGAAAAATTTGATACTGTATTTAGACGTTGAGGTTTCTGTATATGTTTATTTTTGCTGATGGACTGAGTAACTTGTCCCATTACTGCCCCATCTAACTCAATTTAAAACGATTCAAAGAATAGTTTCAGAAGTACTTAACTTGGATATGAGGAAAATATTCCAATTCCTGTTCAATGCTGGCTATCAGAGTTTTAGGACCCAAGAGGACAGAAAATCGATTAAAAAAAAAACATGGCCGCCTTATGCTAATCATTAATTTCCCCAAAATAAACAATAAAATAAATCACTATCAAAATTCTTGTATACGCTCTAGTCCTCGGGTCAGCAAACATGCAGCTCTTTTACTGCCCTGTTGTGGCTCCACAGCAGAATTAGATTAGTAGGTAAAAATAAAATAATCCTCCTTTACAGTAAAATAAAGCTCTGCTGATCGTTCAACACAGTTTAACAATAAATGGTCTTAAACTCTGGAGTTAATGTAGAACTGCTAATTCACCCTTTAACCCTGAAGATCAGCACAGACTGCTGGTCACCATAGCAACACAGACAACAATCTCGTCTAGCTAGTATCTAACGAAAAGGCAAAGAGAAAGATTTAAGACGAGCATCGATAATTTGGAGACGAATGGACATAAAATTTGCAGATCAAAGAAGCTGCTGGTGTTCTAAGGTCAATGGAATGTCCACCCCCAGAGCCCAGACCTCCGCATTATTGAATGTGTTTGAGGTTGCTTGGATCATAAGAAGCAGAAAGTGCACTTAACTTCTCCACGACTTTTAAAATCTTAACAGGTTTCTAAAACAGAGAGCATCACAAACTCAACGTCAGTCACAGAATTTATGTGACTTGTTCTGTCGTGAGGCGCTCACAGTAGACGACAGGGCAAAGAGAGAGAATAACACACACGAGTTTGGGCTACGAATAAGAACTCAAACTCCCAGATCTCCTCAGATCACATGACCCAAACAAAGCTAAACGTACTGGACCGGACCTGTTTGTGCTTTTATACACAGCGAAAGCGTAAACTGGGGGTTAATATGGGGTTAAGAAGCGCTGATTTCACAGTGAGAGCTGGAGAAATCTCTCACTACAAACTGCCAGCTGAGCTGAAACTGTGAAGACAGTGTTTTGACGTCTCGATCAACATTACAAACATGATAACGGCTCTTATCTGACTGTGTATCACACTCAACTCCTCTGTCTCCGCTC